GTGTGTGTGTGTGTGTGAGAGAGAGAGAAAGAGAGAAAGGGCAGAGGGAGGAAAGGAGGAAGGCAAGAACTGAAGAGGTGAAACAAGTACTTTACTGTCTACAGCCTCAAACCCCACCTCTTCATACAATCGAGAGAAAAAGATGAAGTTGAAGGGGGGAAAAAAATCTCAGAAAAAGAGAGACGCTTCATGTTGCCTGCCTGAAACTTGACAAAGCTCCTCCTGTGAATCTGTTGGAAGTTCGAAATGCTTTGAGTCCTATGCTACTACTTACCTGTGTCGGTGAGGATGAAACTGTATGCCCCTGAACCCTCCTCGGAAAATGTCCCACTCCAGCAGCCACTCTGTAAAATAGGTGTCAAATACAGTCAGTAGATCTGTAAAGTATGTTTATATGTATGTATGTATATCTATCACAGAGTTGATGGTGTTTATATTTATTGATTCCATTTCTTTGCCTTGTTTTCAAAACTGCCTGGTGGCCATTTTATTTTCTTACTTTCTGACTTTTGTATCATTTGACATTGCTCTTTCTGGGCTTGCTCATGGAACTAATTACTTCTAATGTATTTATGCTGCAAGGTCTACAACCTGTAGGCTTACATTAGTACAGTGTACCCTTTTCTGTCAACTTTCGCCTCTTTCTGCCCAACTTTCTTTATGGCCACTTATAGCGTTGTTAGTGACGAGTGTGGCTAATGTTACAGAAATATGCGTGGCCCCACAATATGACCACGTTTGTAGTGCTTTACAGTTGTGCTGCCGATTGCCATGCTGTTATTACACTGGGAGGAATGGTAGGACAAGTTTAATACTTTGAGCTAAGCCACAATCACAAGGGACTAACTCCTGGGGTTATAATCAAAAGCTGTTTATGTAGGGCAGATTTGAAGAGCACTAAGCCTAAACTTTTGTGTGTCGCCTTCAATTCCTAAGTCGGAAGTGATTTAACCTGTGAGATCCATATTAAAATGACTCCAGATGGTAAAAAAAGAGCAGTAATAATCCTCAGGCAGTCTTTAATATGGGTTGGTGGGCTTAAGCAAAAATGACTAGACTTATTTACGCTGACAAAAGGAATTTTTCTGATGAGAAGAACATCGAACACCAAAATTTAAAAAAAAAGGTAATCCAGGCTTCGGTTTAAAAAAACAGCAATAAGTTAACATTTGACGGAAACTACTACTTCTTAGCCCCTTTTGTTCAGAGGATTGTTTTGCCTCCACTATTTCTACACCAGTAGATTCACTATGGTTTCAGTGTGTTCTGACTTGAGTAATTTCCACAGCAAACACCAGTAACTGGCTCGATGGGTTAGCAGCGTTGTTGTCCTATAGTCTTGTTAACTGGTGAGCTACAGACTGCTTTGATAGGTAAGGCCTAACAGGCATTTACAGTACATACATATAACCATAGAATTAGAGTCATTAGAATGGACATAGCCTGTGTAGTCAATTTGAGATGTACAGATAGACTGGACCAGGGCTGTTCCCTCTCTTGTGAGAGACTATGTTCCTGTATTCAAACAAAATTACTGCACAGACCAGAAGCCTTTTTTTAATTGTTATTTTGTTCCAGTCTCAATATGTCACAGTTCTACAGACTATGTCTATTTTAAAGCTTTTAATTCTATGTATGTTGCCTCTTTGTGAGACAGGTTGTTATTATTGAAGGAGGTATATTAATGTAATTATGGTATCAAATGTATTCAATACTGAGTAGGAGCCACAGTATTAAATATACATAGCATCCTAGCACTGTGTAATGATTAGATTTGCCTGATCTTTGGGAAAAAGAGAAAAAAAACACTCATACATGGGGAAAGCTTTTTTTGTCCTTGTAAGAAACAAGACAACCTCACTTTTATTCAATGTGAATTACAATATGCACCTTACATGATCTTTGTAATTGACTTTGATTTGCCAGTGTGGAGAAAACTGTAAATGTTTTGTTTATGTATGTGTGCGCTTCTGAAATTTATTAAAGTCTTTTGCATTGTATTGAATATTTTGATGACTCTTCTTATTCATTATCTTGAGCTTTCAATGCAACCATTCAGTCGATTCAGTTTTCCGCACGTTGCACTGGATCTGCTCGAAGAGAAAGCGAGACTAAAACGAGGCAAAACAGATGTAGAAGAATAATAATTTGTTTTTCTTATATATAGATAACTGGTAGCATATAGCACAGGTCAAACAAGCTGTAGCCTCTAGAAGCATATGTGGCTGTGAAGGGCTGGACACAATTAATTGGCTCATTTCTGCCACAGGAAAAAGAAAACTGCTCTTTCCTCCCTTCCTTCCACAATACACTTGACTAGTAAAAAGAAATGAAGAAATGGTTTGGATATACATTGCTCATTAGGAACAGATTACAGATAAAAAGTTATGGAAATTTGTTGGGCCCACATCCTTTGAAGTTCACAGACATAAAACAGCAGGAAGTAAGCTTTTTTTGGCTCAACCCAACTGTTTCCTTTTTTTCCCCGTACTGTATGAGAGCTGATAATGATCATTTGATAACAATAACCCTGCTCTGATGATGTACAATAGTGCACAAACACGTGGTGTTAACACATCTGAGAGGGAGATTGATTCTAGGAGGTAGAATAGCCGCCGCTCTAACATCGCGTTGTGCCGTGTTTATGAGGATTTGATCCAAAAATACAGACTTGAAAGGCATAAAACAAAGCCAGAGTGGAGACAACAGAAAATGTTTAATTGCTTATCAAAGTTACTTCAGATTTTAAAACAGAGAGAGAGCTAATCAGTTCCCTTGGGGAAAGTGTCCTTGGTGATTTGAGGAAATGGTGCACGCTCAAGTAGAGCATTCTTATAAAGCGGGTGCAGAAATGTCAGCTTTCTATAAATAGATAAATGTAAACGTACTAAATGCCTCATACTTAAAAACAGAGAGCTTGGGTAGATCATAAGGTAGTTGTATCTCTTTGAGCTTGATAAATTACGGTTTGATTTTTCATGTTATGCATAATTAGGAAATGGAATGGATTTAAATGAGCCATACATAAATAAATACATTTAAAAAACTCCAACAAAAAGAAACCAGTAATGAGTCTTAACATTTGCGCGTGAAGATAGAGTGGGCGATAAATGGATTTTTTTCTGCTTCGCGGTGCAAAGGGGAAAGAAGGGATGGGAAAAGAAGAAGTTGCCGCTCGGGTTTGCAACAGAAAATGTCTCTGTTATGTCTTTGGACAGTTTTCATTATTGGTCCTCTGCTCCAATAGAAATATGCAGTTGTTACAGGCACTTGTGATTTTGGTCAGCTCACATTAAATGCGTTCCCTGTGATTTTTATCGTCTATAAAACTGACTCTTAAAGGTTGTCCCGTGGTTGTTTTAAAATATGTCACTGAGGGAAGCGTTTCCTTTCTGTCTTTGTCACATATTGATTTGTGATTTATGAGCAGCATCGCTTTCAACTAACAGGCCAGGAAGCTTGTTACATGTAGTTACTTTGATAATGCAAGGATATGTCTGCAGATGGAGAAATATACAGACCCACACACATGATCTTACGCTGGCACACAGGCAGCAATTCATTTTGCTGCAGTGGTGAGGCTATCCATATGGTCTGCATTAATTGTATTTCTTTCTCCTTTTTCCAGTTTCTCCGTCTTATCATTCGTAGCGCGCCTAGAGGCTTCTTCTGTAAAGCTTGCTGTTTCCTGTAATACAAAACCTTTGGGTGCACTGCAATTATCAAGCATCTATTGTTATCACTTGAATTCGAGACCACATCTAAAGTTTACCATTCTGGAAAAAGAAGTGGACACGGCTGGTCAAGTGACTTTCCATAACCTTGAGAATGGAATCAGTTCAATCAGTGCTACCTCTCCGCTGTTATCAGTTCTTTCCCTCTGATCAATGTAACATAAATCTAAAACATATTTGTTACCTGTGTGAATAACATTGCAGGAGCTATGGAAACGGCAAAACCCCCTTTTTGTATTCACATTACACAGAATTTACAAGTCAGCTGCGATTGTCTGCTGAGATTATTGCCATCTGCAGCACAGAATGACAGCTCAAGAGCATAGATCGTTTGAACTAAATGATCGCTGTAGTTGCTGTCTCAGTGAACTTTTGAAAAGCAATGTGCATTGAGCAATCCGAGCACTGCTGTAGATTTATTTGATTTCTCTAAACGTGTATAAAATCACTTATTGAAAGTCTGTATGGATTTGTTTTGCCCTGTTTTTAAGAGTCTGGAATGGGAATTTTGGCAGCTGCTTATACTTTCATACATTTTTACAATATCTGTTTGATTTAGAGGCCACATTGAATACAGAAAAATGGAATTAGTATTTTGCAGGTTTTTACTTCCACTAAGAAAACATGACTCTTTTTTTTTTTTTTTAAGGAATATTGATAATACAAATGCTTGGATTTAAGGCATTTAATGTTTAGACCGTCTATGGGGAGGTGTGGGTCAATTAGCCAAGCATCAAGCGTGTTCGGATTTATGATGTGAAGTTGTCCTGAAGCGATACTGACTGTTTATGCAGGGCCGATTTATGCATGTGCTGTGCAGTGGTGCAGGAAACAAGAAGATGCTGTCTTTCAGTTGCACTCCACTCAAGGCAACACTCCACACAATTGATGCCAAATCTCTGCCAAACTGAATAATTCAATCATCCCCCATAGCTGCGGTGGTCTTGCTACCTTTGTGTGCGCAACAATCAAATCAGTGTGGAAGCCCGCCGAGTGGTTCTTTCTGAGACACTGAGTAGCTCTACAGCCCGGAGATTGTTTTCATTGAAAACAATTCTGTTGATTAAACGAGGTGTGACTGTGGAGCGGGGATCTGAGGAGCATCGATTGCTTGTACAATTGTTTGTTCCTTGTTAAAAGTGTGATCTAAAGCAGTAGTTGCTGATAGTGTGCAAAGAGCATATGGTTCGCTGGTGTGCCTGCAAGACAGTTGGTGTGTCTCTGTCTTCCTTAAAAT